ACTGCAGAGTCTCTGATGGATAATTGGATTGGTAGGTTGGTTTTGATTTTTTTTGTCCTTTTTTTTTTTTTTGGCTTTTAATTGCCTGCAATAGTAGCTGGTGCCTTCTCGCTATCCTGTTGATGTTTAATTCTCATGATTTTTGGGTTATGTTGTGTGTGGCATCTTCTGTGTTTGAAGTATATACCCTCTTCTCAGTTACTGGTAGGGAAAGCATAGCTTGGAGGTATTTGAATGGCAGATAGGGCAAGATACTTTTCTTTTTTTTAATGCCTGAAATACACATGACAACTTCTTTTCTTTGTTGTTTAGATGACGTGAGAAGATTGTAAGTTTTCTCAAGTCTGGAGAAATATGCACTGGTTTTCGTTAAAGGAGCACTGAAAGTAGTATTACTTATATCTTGAATTCTCTGTATCAGCTATTCCATCTGCAGAAATTTCAGAGCACAGTCCTCAGAAAGCCAGAGTGCAGAGCAGTGATGAATGACTGCTTGCCTGTTGGAAACATTAAGACCTGTCAGAGTCTTGATCTGAAATTTCAGTGCGTAGGACTTTAATATTAGTAAAAGTAGTATTCCTTCTGAATTAATTATTTTAGAAAAGTGTTAAATTAGGCATCTCCCAAGTGCACTTAACTCACTGAACTGAAGTGTTCTTAAAAACAATGATTTTGAACTCGTGAGACTACTTTCTGCTCAAACATGTGGCTTTTGATTTTACCTGGGATAAACAATCAGTTGTTAATAGACCCCATATTCTCCTCTTTTATCCTTTGTCTGATTATTTTTTATTTTTTAATGTGGCCTTATAAGAGCAATCTTAAAAAACAAACGCAGGCACAAAAGCAATAAAACAAGTTTAGTTTTTTTTGTCTGATATTTATAAAGGCTAATAATTGCTAAAAATCATAATCTGACTAGAAAGTCTTTGCACTGCATGCTAAGCTCTCTCTACATGAAAATTCCTATTGATGTTGATGGGAGTGTTTGTCTAGATGCAGAACAGCAATTTATTATTTAAAAAAATGTTACATTATCCTTATTTTGTGTCTTGTATGAAAGCTTATGCTAATGAGCTCTTGTCAGTTTTGAAGACTTTTCATCATCTGTATTAGAATAAATTAACAAAATGTCTGTTTTAAGGATATGAGATTTCTGGTGTATCTCCTTTTCCTGTGTCTGTGTTGATAACATTAAGATTTGGGTGAGAAGAGAACATAATGGCCGGTGCAAATTTGCAGTTGGTTATTCTTCATGAGTTTGTCTCCATTCTCTTCAGAACTGGCTCTGTTGTTTATTTGCCTAATGCTGTGGCTTTCTCAAAAGTCGTTTTGTGTAAGGAAACATACACAATGTTCATTGCAAGGAAACATGCACACATGTCCATTGCACTATTTTTGCTCTGTTGTCTGGGTTTGGTTCATCTTCCTTTTTATAGTGAATGCTAGCTTTAAAAAACAACCATTGTTCATTAATGCTGGCCTTAAAAACAGTCATTGTTCATTAATCGCACACTTGGCATAATTTAAGAGCTGGAGGGTCAGAACTACCTCAAGGAAGATATTTTTGCTTTTCCTTTTTTTATTTCCTTTTTATTGGATCCCTAATTTTTCTCTTCCTTGTGATACACCCACCTGAAGAAAAAGGTAAAAAATGAGGGTTGTACCTTGTAGGTATTCATGACCCTTTTGGTGTCACTTGGTTCAGTATTTGAAGGTCTGTCCTGTTTTGTCAGAGCTTGTTCAATGCGTGACTGTAGAAAGGGAGTAGCAGATAAGAAATTCTATTTTATTTGGAAGCCGGTGGCTCAAAAATCAAGGAGAAAATTGCTAGAAAGGATTATCCTGGCCTTGGCACTGACTTTGAAGAAATCTGCCAAGGCTGGAATCCTTGTTTAAGTGCCATCTGTGTCAGAATTAGAAGCGAACTGTGTAAAATAGTTCCATTACTCATTCTAATTTGTAGATCTGACTAGGTCTGATAAAGTTTACAGTAGTATCCACATCACCTTCTTTCTTGGATATGTCTACTATTTCCACAACAGTGGAGTTAACTGGGTAGAAGCTACACTTAAAATTATCTAAAAGAACCCCAGCAATGCCCAGCCAGTAATATAGCAAAAAGTCAGATCTGATCGTGTAACCCTGGTGGTGGAAGAAGCTGGAAATCTCAGCTTATGGCAGGCAGAATGCAGTCTTTCTCTCTAACACCCACGTAAGATAGGTATGGCTGAAAATAATAAATTGTTTTTTAAGGCTGGAGTTCCCTGTCCTCTTGCCTCTAGTCTCTTGACTAGTGAGTGCTAGAAGATAGATGCCATCGTTGGTCTTCTCCAGTGCATTTTTGTGTATTGATGAATCATTTCTGCTACTCCACATCTATACCAATTTTTTATCCTCTGGGAAGAATTGAACATGATGACCAAGACTATGTGTGCTGGCTGAGAGGCAGCTTGTCAAGGGTCACATCAAGGAAGAGTGGCCTGCTTTACTGTTTTCCCAGGCATCTATGAAAATTAGACAAATAGTAACAATTTCTGATCTGCTGTTTTTGGCCAAACTGCAAGTAGCAGTGGTAAAATCACTAAATAAAATAGATAAATCTAATATATCTAAATAAAATAAATAAATTAATGTTTTCTTAAAAGAGTACAACTCCCGTATCAGTGTAAACCTGCTTTCACTCACCTGCAGTGATAGTTACAAGAAAACATGTGTTCAGGAAAAAAAGGAATTATTTTAAGCAGCCCTCTGCTTCCTTCACAAGAAATTTGCTGCTGCTTAAAACTTCCAGGGAAGTTAAGTTGTTGAGTTGCATCTCTCAAGAGTTCCTCTGCAGTTTATGAATGAAATATTAACATACAGAGTATCAACATTTCACTTCTACTTTAGCTTTTGGATTTGATCTGCTGATAGGCATTTGGCAGCTAAGATTTAGGACTAGGAGAAAACTAGAAATTGTTACTGTGGAATGTTCATTTAAATACAAAGAAAAATGAAGGATTTTGTTTTAGTGGGACACAAGAGGAAGAAGAGAGAAAGGGCAGAAAAATGAATGGAAGGAGTTGTAGACATCAGTTTATTTTTTGAAATATGAAACTGCTTACAATTTCTAAATGGAATTAGGGATGAATTTAAGTTGTCAGTTTGGAGAAATGAGTGTTTCTCATTGTGGAATATAAAGTGTCACTGAATGGTGGAATAGGGCGAGCAAGAATTGACAACTAGTCAAATGAGGTGGCGTTTTCACTTGATACTTAGACTTCTCAATCCAGCTTCTTCTGGTGAGGTTTCATTGTCTTACTCTTTCTGACTCCCCTGCAGACCCCCTGAACCTCAGTACTAAATTCTCTTAGTAATTGTTTTCCCTTCTGTCTTCAGTTAATGCTGCTTCTAATCAGTACTGCAAATGGGATTTTATGTTTAAAAATTACCAGATGTCAGTGTATGAATCTGCTTAATTCAATATTTTTTATGCTGAGGGTGCTAGGAAGGCGTATGCCACTGGATGGTAATAAGAAATGAAAACCCATCATTTTAGCATTACTAAATATCCAAATATATGTTCTTTAGTTTGTGTTGTTCTTAAGAATATTAGCTTTCATTGTTTTGTTAACAGAAGGGATGTAAGAGGCTTCCTGGTATTTTTATATAAAAATGAACTGGCATTCAAATGAGGCTCTTCAAGCAGCAGTTAAATTCTGTATTTCTGTAGTCTCACCATTTTTCAATCCTAAAACTGGTTCTAGAGCGTGACTCAGATTCAAACCTGTAGGTTGTCATTCCTGTAAGACAAATTTTCAAATATAAATTATTGGCTGGCATGCTTGAGAATTCTTAAATGAGATAAAGATGGTTCCTACTGCTTTAAAAGGGTGCAATTGTCTGTATTTTTGGATTCTTCCATATTGAGCATACTGTACAATTAGATGCTGTTTTTTCAAAGTAGAGAATTGGAGCATTGAAGAATGAGGTCCCTGTAAAGGTGGACATTTTTTTGTTGCTATTATTAGAATATGTTATAACTTATGTCCTTGATCTTGATCTTCCAGAACTATTTAATATCAACTGCATTTATGAGAAATATTTTCCTCTTCAGTGACTATTCCAAGTAGTAGAAATCAGTAGGTGATGATGTAGTGAACAATTTTTAGTTCTAGGAGAGCTGCATGTTGGCATTAACTTCCACAAAGCAAAAATGATCAGTTTAAGAAGTGGTAAAAGCTTTTAGTTTGTGATGTCGTCCTCATTGAGGTTCATGTTGTCACGAGTGGGGGTGCTACAAATGAAGAAAGAAGGAAAAGAATCACTACAGATACCGAGTGTACTGGGACGTAGGACATGCTAGTGGCTAAGCCAAACCACTTGGTGATGAGCAGGTACTTTGAGAAAGAAGCAATGTGTATGGGAATAAATTCACATCCTTGCATAGTTACTCTCAGACCTCAGGTGTGAAGAAGGGAATATAGCCACAGTGGGTAAAGTTCCTGCCTTTCTTTCCAAACATTACCATCTGCCTGCCTTTTCCCTTGTTCCCACTATAATGCTACTCCAGCTTAAAGGCTGCTAGATGAAAATAGCAGCTTCTAGCAAACTTCTGGGGTCATTCAGACTTAGACTGTTTAGGGTAGCCATGTAGATCCTTGCTTGTTGGAATACCTTCTTTCTGCATGAAGGCATTGTTTTGGGAATGATTCCTGCATGGCCAAAATCAGGATGCTCTCCAGCTGGTTTGGAGAGTGGAGAACCATGCATAGTAATGCCTTGCAATATGGTTATCAGTTTTGCAATTTACATCTCTGCTGTTGCTATCCAGAGTCTTGCCCTTTGCTTTTGTGTGCTGTGCTGAGGAAGTTTGACTTAAAATCTCAACTTATTCATGCTACCAGTTGCCACTGCTCTCACACCACTACTCTCAGCCTGGCACCTGAGGTATATCCAGCTGCATCATATTCTAAAAGCATCTGAGGTGCTGCTTAGTAAGCTTAGATCTTGGTTTATATTACTGTTGCAATATGAATTAACTGTGCA